GAAAAAACGAAATAACGAAATGGCACATATCAGCCACCATACCTTTCAGAACAATTGGGTTATAAAGTGTCTTGTTCAATAAACTAACTTTATGAGAAACAAAGATCGACCTCAGATATTCAGCTGAGGTTGTAAAATCCGATGATCTGATACACATGTTCGGGTATCCAAAATGTATCACCAAGAAGCTGAATGTTATGAAGTGATTCCTGCAGTTTTGCTTCTTTCTGTTATCTTCTTTCGGTCTTTGATGAAACACGTGACAACTTGTGTTGGTAGAGAGGGAAGGAAAATTGACAGGAAAAAACCTAAAACAAAACAAAAAATGTACATCTTTTCCTACAGAGTCCCAAAACATATGTCATGTAAACAATAACCCATTTATTTTATTTACATTGTATTACTTAAATTAGTTAAATTTAAATATTTCAGGAGGAAACCGTAAAAGACGTACATATTTCGTTGGACGATGGGAACATGCAAAGGGACTCACTGTTTTTTCTTTCCTCGTGTTCGAAACTTCTGAATATCACAATAGTCGTTGATACTGTTTTTGCACATTTAAACTGCAAAGCCTCCTTAAGAACTGTGTGTGTATAATGGCTTTCTGTTGTACTACCCAATATATTTCAATGATGTAGACTATAGATAAATGACATCGATTTCATTGTCAATCACTGAATTACAATAACTGCTGTCGCTGATGTCACGATTACAATCATCAAACAATTTACATGTTCATGTCAAGGTTGCAACAAATCTTAATCTTCTTTCGAGTCACGACCAGTCCGTGAGCGATAGGTCTTTCGACAACGGAGTTCGTTCACTGCATGGCAAATGTTTATACTGATGTGTTGACAAATGCACGTGATAAACTTGCCAGGTCATGTGTTTGTTTGTAAACGCGTTCGCTACTTACCTGAAGGACGAACACGATCATTCACCGTGAATCATAAAGTTTCTGGACAAATCGACTTTAAAAAAAAGAACAAAAAAAAACCAATTACGTACTTCTGTACAAAACGAGCATGAAACTGACATCTTAATCGGACTTTGAAGTTCCCCGTGTATTTGAAATATGTATACATAAATATTTAAAAGTACAGCAGAATATTTATCCTTTGGTATAAAAGGTACACAAAATCCACCTAGTTTATCATGCGAGTTATCTCTCCTTAATTGTATCTACGATGCTACTAAACGTGATAGTTTCCTATATTTGCTATACTGTTTTAGACAAAAATGGCACTTATTGCCCCTGGGGTAAGATCAAAAGTGACCCGAAATGGGAAATAGAATCCCTTTTCCGTTTGGTAAAGGGGGCTTTAACCAAAACTGGTCCAGAGCATCCCTAAATGTCATGCTTTCCTACTTAATCATCTTACCCCACAGGTTCATTTCTCCGATCTCACCTCCAAGGGGATGAAAGAATTTTTTAGTCTCAACCAAGAGCTGTGACGAGAGGACTCCCCCTTTCATACTATGATGTAAAGCTTTAGTTTAACAACAACACATATCAAAGAAGGCAAACAGAGTCAGAGAAAAAATATTTACCGCCTTCTTGTTGAGATATGGGATTGCAACCATAAGGAGAAATCGATGAAATTAGAAATACTCAAGGGAGTCTGAAGCTTTTTTCCCCAGATCCTAGTTCCTAAATTCAGGTTTCCAAGCCTCAGAGTAGGATGTTAGCAGCTTGATCATCTCCTTCGGTTTGGTGTTAGCCTACTTCACCTCTGTAGAATGAACGATTCTTCTAGCCATTCCTTATGACTGAGATCGATAAAGGCAAGGATCTGTTTTCTGTAGTCTAAATACGAACTACAGAGAAACCAATTTAAATGTATCAATTTTTTTAAAGGACTATGACAGAAGTAGAATAAGCTCGTCATTTTCGAATGTTCGTCCACAATGACTCCGACATATTTTGCTTTCTTTGTCGACTAAATTGATCACCGTTCAAGCTATAAATATACATCCTTCTTCCCTTTTCACTGAATAGTTTTCTATGTACACGTGTTTACCCTATTTGGATGTCTTACTATTAAGTGGCCCCACTCCTTTTGAAGTTCTTGGACTTTATAGAAAATGTCAGAAAAACTTAGTCAGTAGTGAAAAGAAAAACTTTTGTCTGGACATTTTTTGAAGATCATTGGCGTAAATTAAAAAAAAGGTAAAGTCCTAAAATCAATCACTGAGACTTATTACTCCTCACTTTTACCAATTTACCTCTAAAGGAATCACGGGGCTAAATTATGATTTCTCACCGCTAATCTAATCATCTTACTTAGCAGACGCTGGTCAGGAACTGTGGAGTCCTATAAACAAGGTCGATCACTGATCTAATAGGTTTTCGTCTTACTTAGCAGACGCTGGTCAGGAACTGTGGAGTCCTATAAACAATGTCTATCACTGATCTAATAGGTTTTATATCTTACTTAGCAGACGCTGGTCAGGAACTGTGGAGTCCTATAAACAAGGTCTATCACTGATCTAGCAGGTTTTATATCTTACTTAGCAGACGCTGGTCAGGAACTGTGAAGTCCTATAAACAAGGTCTATCACTGATCTAATAGGTTTTATATCTTACTTAGCAGACGCTGGTCAGGAACTGTGAAGTCCTATAAACAAGGTCTATCACTGATCTAGCAGGTTTTATATCTTACTTAGCAGATGCTGGTCAGGAACTGTGAAGTCCTATAAACAAGGTCTATCACTGGTCTAGCAGGTTTTATATCTTACTGAGCAGACGCTGGTCAGGAACTGTGAAGTCCTATAAACAAGGTCTATCACTGATCTAATAGGTTTTTGTCTTACTTAGCAGACGCTGGTCAGGAACTGTGGAGTCCTATAAACAAGGTCTATCACTGATCTAGCAGGTTTTATATCTTACTTAGCAGACGCTGGTCAGGAACTGTGAAGTCCTATAAACAAGGTCTATCACTGGTCTAGCAGGTTTTATATCTTACTGAGCAGACGCTGGTCTGGAACTGTGAAGTCCTATAAACAATGTCTATCACTGATCTAGCAGGTTTTATATCTTACTGAGCAGACGCTGGTCTGGAACTGTGAAGTCCTATAAACAAGGTCGATCACTGATCTAATAGGTTTTCGTCTTACTTAGCAGACGCTGGTCAGGAACCGTGGAGTCCTATAAACAAGGTCGATCATTGCAGTATTGTCTATGACTTGAGTTCATTTATCTACCACTTCAAGAAGTTGTAGCTAAATGGATCTTCCTGGTACAAAACCGTACTTAAAGGTAGACAAACAACATCGATATCATTTGTTTTTGTAATTCCATTCTGTAAAGAAAAGCTCCAGTATTTTACTTGCAAAACAACAACACTTGGTATCCGCTCGTGTCCTCCCGAACCGACCAAAGAACTTCATAGCACATGATTCTGATTGTTTTATGTTTTAGAAAACAAATACATGTACTTATTTATTACTGTACGCAACGCAATGCTTTTAGACACGTATCCGGTAAACAAGCGATGAAAATAGGGTAATTCTTCCATGTTCGATGTGAACCGTTGATAGAAACACGTTCAAGTCGAACCATCGGATAAGCCGAACATTTCATTTGATCCCGTCGAGTTCGACTTATCCATGTTTTACTGTACATTAAACGAACACTGACTTTGTATTCGTCGGCTATTGTTGTCGTTACCAATTCATCGCCTCCATTTAACGTCCTTCATTCTTTCGCTGTTACTGCTATATGTTAATACTAAAACACTGTAAAATTACACATTCTATAGAGAGTTTATTTTCGTGGGCACCCTTAATCAATGTGCATGATATAATACACAGCTAAACATATTTTCTTGAGTTTCAGCAGTAGTGGATTTGGTGAGTAACTACATATCTATGAAATCATATATAAGCGATGATGTATTTTTATGAATAATCACAAAATGTGAGACCCACGAAAACGTGGGATTTCACAGTACGCATTGTGGTAATATCATAGGTTTCTTCTTAAATTTCAAAACAAAAAAGCCAAATGGTTTGAAAATAAAATTCATATTGCTCATTTGTAGTTCCATTACGATTGGTCAATTCGACATTGATAAAATTATACTTTTCCGTCAGAAAGGGGGACAGACACAGCATTTTATCACTTGCATTAAGGAAAGAGATTCTTAAGATAGCAAATGAACGGTCGTTACAACCTTTCATCCATTCAACAGTTGATTTCATTATAAACTATATTTTTGAAGTTGCATTATCCCGCTAATAGTCCCTCCTCTCCACTAGTCTTGCCTGTGTGATAATAATGTGTTTTCATAGTGTGGAGTGTAGGAAAAAGTACGACATGAACTTCACGTTTGCTCCTGCTTCAATCGCAGAAAAAAATACAGCCATATTGGAATTCGTAGTCTGTCACTATTTCATGCCAGAAGTAAATGAATGTTTTGTGAAATACATGATCTTGTCACTAATTCAGTAAAAAATAAAATGTCCGTCATGTCACTTTGAATTTCCGGTCCTGTTTCTGAGCTTCATCAGAAACACATACTGCCCCGGATGTTCACCCGAGGATGCAGTGTAATCAGGCGCTCTACCGATGTAGCTCCCTCAGCCCCATTCACATTGGGTACCAAATATCTCTTTAAGTTTACTTGTATATACTTCATAACGTATTTATCCTGATGTGTTGACAGATGTGGTTTTATTTGACATATAACAAAAACATTCAGGTTTTCGTCACGTTTTACTCAGATGTAGTCGGAGACACATACAAAACAAATGTAGAAGAAATTAAATGGTAAAACTTAGTATGACGACGCTGTTTACAGCTTACAAATATTCTAGCCTTCTACCTTCAACGTCCTGGGACGTTCTACACACATAACGGTGACGTCATTGAGTCACGTGGTGGTAACCTTTATAGACTGCATTGGAAATAATGTCATATTTATTTAGACATAGGGTAGGCAGCATCCCCTGATACAACGATGTACATATAGTGTAAAAAGTCAGATTGTGGCAATCTAGATGTCGGATACAACTCCCTTCCGGCTTGTTCCATCCACTCGTTCGTACTCCTCGTTTTCGATATTGTGACGTCTGAGAGAAGATGGACTTCCCGTGATTTTTTCGCCCTTAGCTTCCTCGTACGAGATGTGAGGGATACCGTGTGTTACTTCATAAACTGGAGGAGGGACTCCTATCGTGTAGACTCCGTCCAACAATTTTGGTTTTTCAGGCTGTCGCTCAATATAAACCTTTTTCTTTATTCGTCGCCTGCAGCAGATACACAAGAGAGCACTGAAGAGTAGGATTACAGAGGCAAGACCGATGGCAGTGCCTATAAGTAAGGGGAGGTAATACTCAGGTGCGAGCTCCTCGACATGAATGTCATGGGAATGCTGGAGAGCGTTCTGGTCTGGTTCACCATGCTTCTTATCGCTATCACTGGGAACGGCCGTGTCCTGTGGTGTAGTGTGATCTGTAAAAAAAATAGAAATAGGAAGTGTTGAAACAGAAACGTAAGAAAACAAATGCCGGAAGTGTTTAAAACAGGAATAACAGGAATAGTGAGCTGAAAACAGAAACCGGAAGTATTGTCATCGGAAACGTGGTCTTGGAAGTATATGCTATTAAAGAAACTAAACGAATGTTTATATGAAAAACAAATATCTTTCCAGTACAGTGCTCACATTTTTTCGTGTGATTTTGCGTATGATTATGATGTAGCGTTAGAACAGAAAAATGTGTATAATGCATAGCAGGTGTATCACTTACTGAATGTATGTTTTGTCATAATTTTCTTCTGCATAGCGAATGATGCATAGAACATCCTTTCCCATTGGTTAAGAATATCACGTGATAACATGATAGGCCGTGTCAGTAGCATTGAATAACATTTAGGTTACGTATAAGTAGGCCGGGATCTTTTCTACAGCATGGTTTTGGTTTCATGTAAACAATTTGCAAGCTGGTGTCACGTGTCAATCCGATACCATGTTACAGTTTTTATATTCCTCATTGGTATCATTATCACGTGACAGGATGTTTCTCAATAGTGAAGATATATAGACATCTGCTAGTAAGACTCACGACAGTTTTATTGTCGTTTTTATTCTCCTTACCGTCATTGTCATCATTTTGTTTTGGTTGTTCCTCGGTGGTGATCTCGGGTTTGGAGGTGGTTTGAGTGACTTTCTCAGCGGTTGTTGGTTGTGGGAGTGGCTCCAGAAGCTCCAGTTTATGATGTACAGCGTCAGGGCCTGGTTGGATTTCGCCAACTAGACGGCTCTCAATGGACTCGACTGTGAACCATTAAACATCATTTTTATATCTCGTGTTCTACTGCATAAGAATTGTACATATGCACTAATTAATATTTCAGGCTATATCACTTGAAAAGGAAACATGCATAATTCTTGTGTAAATGAAACCCCGAACATTCTCTTCCTAAGCTCTGACTTACGTTCGTGGAGACGGCAGTCTCGGTTCATTTCGGCTAAGGTTTCGGCCAATGTACGCCTCACCAAGGCCTGCTCGGTTAAGCTTGTACAAGGTCGGAGGTTACCGACTATGCATTCTGTTATCATCTGTTTCTTACTGCAAACAGAAGAATCACATTATTCATACTGTATTTTACCAGCTGGTAACAGTTTGTTGCTTAAACATATATGTTAATTTTTACATTTGCCAGCTGCCGTCCCATTAGAACGGCATTTGATGGCCAATGCAACTGGTCCCAACTGTGACGTAAATGCTCTTGTTGGCCTTTCCCATTATTGGATTTACTGAACAGTAGAAGGGTTTATATAAACGTTAATGAAAATTGTTGTTGAAGTTAAAAATATGAATATAGAGTAGAACAGAGTATTTTCTTAATGTTATTATAGTCGATATGAGAGTTTCTTGCAAACCTTTAATGAAACACAAGCTGATAGATATTGGCAAAAGTTCACTTCCAATTATACCCACTATCAAATGTTAAAAAAAACATTATTTAAACAAATATAACAATGTTTCATTGTTGTGTATCTTGGAAATCAACTTAAGTCAATTGTTACTATAGACAACCTTTATCAAAGTTATACATTTCAAAATGATTATCTTATCAAATATAATCAATTTTGTAAAATAGTTTTTGCAGATATCAAGGTTTTTAGCAGAATTTCATATCTAGACACTTTTTCAAAAAATCCTAACGTAAACACACTCCGTCCGAAATATCATTGCAGACGATATTGGCGCAGGTTGTATAATTGCCCTTGATTTGTAGTGCTATCCGCAGTAACTTACTCGCAGACACCTCCTTGATCGTAGCTGGACTTTCCGGGGAGAAAGTTCTGTGCTGCCGGAAGCTCTACATTAGCGTCCTTCAGACATTGCTTCACAATTTTCACGTACTCCGCGAAGCAAGACTGCGGTGGAGGAGGTGCTACAAAAGGTAAAATGTATGATAAGATGAAGAGAACTGCTTTGTCTGCGAGATGTTATTGGAAAGACAACAGGAAATAACCGGGAACTAAAAATTTGGACACAACGTTGGAAGTACGTGACCAGTTCCCGCCTGCGATACTTACTATGGAGTGGTGAGTTTGGTCCAGGTTGTACTTGTACGGGTGGCATGTCTATCGGGAACTTGGGAAGGGTAGGGAAACGTACCACGTCCAAGTTCGGTTTTGGGCGGAGCTCGTTTGCCGAGATATCAGGGATGGGCGTGGGCCCGTCTCCTCGGGATGACATTACGCCAGGCAGGAATCCGCGGAGGAACATGTCGGGTGGAAGTCTTCCCATAATTGTGTTAGTCTGTGGCAATTCGACTTCCGGTTGTTGCTGTTTGGGGATCTGTGGGAAATCTTGTGGTGCTGCTGTACTCGGTTCAAGCTTTTTGGTGATGATTACTTTTGGTTTTTCTGCCTTTTCCATCTTTGGTTTCAATGTCTTGATAATATGTAATAACTTAATGCCTTTAGGAATGATGATCTTGCTGAATATATCCGGTGGTGCAAATGACATTCTGCGCCTCATGATCATTTGCCTGTTGAGATTCCTCATCATCATGGCTCTCTGTTGAATGACTCTTTGCGCAGCCTTTAATCCCATTTGCATTTCGCGAAGATACATAGCACGAGGTGCCCATTGAGCCATAGAGTTACCGTACTTGGCGAGGGGAGACTTCCGGTATGCTGACATCAGACGCATCCTCTTCTCCATCGCGTTAGAGGACGGGTAAGGAGTTAGATCTTCCAGACGCTTAGGCATCATTCTGGGTTCGGGCTGTTGCATCACCGCTTGGTTCTGTAGTAATGCCATTCGATCTGCCATCTGTGATGCAGTCATCTGTGGGGGTAGCATGGAGGGAATCTGTGGCGGCATCTTTGGTGTTAGAGATGGCATTGGGGGCATGGTGATAACGGACGAACGGGACTTCTCCAGCTTTGGTTGTAACGACTTCTGGATAATCAACTCGCCTTCATCACCTAAAATGTTGTATAAGGAAGCGTTAGAAAGGTGATAACATCAGTCGTTTGATCAATTAAACCATTAACTCGATAACTTGTGATATATGTAGCCTTAGAAATTCCCCCTATCAAGTAAGCAACTCTAAACATGAAGTTGTATTTCGATCATGTCATAAGAAAAGCACTATGTTGAAGCACAATTTATATTTGTTTGTGTCCCGTCATAAACACACCACAAAGGGGTAGTTTAAGATAGTAGCTCTATAATTTCCCATCAGATTGACCAAAATTGACCAATTTTCAGAATCAGAGAGTGTTCAGAGGAAATATACGAGCTTATGTGCTGTTTCATTCTAATGATTCAGTCCTCTCATCGGTCCTCCTTTTATCATTCTATCCATTGTTGTTTTGTCGACAACTGCCACGTGCCCAACGTATGTGATTATGTCCTTATTTGTAATAAAAAAACAAAAGCTAATCCCTGACTCTTTATGCAGGAAGCTTTTCTGCAAACGCATCGAAAAAAACACCTAAAAGTTGTAACTGTGAACAAATGCTTGGAACACATTTGACATCAAACGACGCACAAGGGAATGACATAACTGAGTATAATAAATGTTCTGTCATCTCACGATCAGGGATCACGTGTATACAGGTTGCGGTCGGAAAATAAGTGTTCAGATAACTTGTATGGGCTATACTAGTACATCGGACCACTGGAGGTCACGACTGTGTTGGTCAGGTTATAAATATATATATTACATGCTTAATCAATTAATGCCTACATGTACATGGGCGTTTTTGTTTGTTATGTATATAGATTTATATGGACCATTGGTAGACGATAAGTCATTTGTTGTGCTAAATCTTTTTAATTTTGATATTAGTTTTAACTTTTTTTCTGAGGTTCTGAATAAAACCTACTTTAGTTTTCAGATATTTGGCGTCATTTTGATTTTGTCAATGCGCCCATGGAAAAGAGTAGGTAATGATACATAAAGATGACTAATACACGTTATTTATAAAAGGAGATTAGTGATATATAGAAGTAAAGTGTTAGATAATTTTATATTGAGATAAATAAATAATGAACATAAATAATATATAAATAGCATGTTAGTAGAGATACATTGTTAAAAGAGAAATTTATCATCAGAGATAATTCATGATAAAAAGATGTTAAACAGAGAAAAGGATAAATTATATATAGAGATAAATCAAAATAACAGATAAAGATTACTCATATAAAGAGAAATTATAATAATTTAGTAAAGATCAGTATGAATATGCACAAATACTAGATATTGTGACGATAAAAGTAAAGAGAAAACTTTACAGAAAACTTTACAGAAAACTAACAGATGGGCATTTATCTTTGGTGGACTTCCTTTTAATTAATATTGTAGAAAAAGTATAGCTGTTGTAAATCTTTATACCTTTCTACATACTGAGACGTTGACTTGCATAGTTTAAAAAATCCTTGATTAGAAATTCTCATTCAAAATTAATAAAACGCATGTCCTTTAAATACTATGTCAAATATTTTAAGCCAGTAAATGTGTAAATCTTTACGACAACAAAATATTACTAGATGTTTATTTCCATTGTGAATTAATTTTCATGTATTCCGATGTGTGTTGGTAATATTTTCAAAAATATCTATTCATGTAAACAATGTTATCAGTAGATGGAAACATGATATAACAGTATCAAACCTGAAAATAAAACGTGTAAGTTACATTACAGAGAAAACACACAAACAAACAAACTATGATACCGTGAATCCCATTCAACTGCTAATCTCAACGCTACAAAACGTTACCTCGAGTAGCTAACTGTCGAATGCGTGTCCAGATAGACGACAGCAAGTGATGCATGCACGCTGAGGAAGGAAGCAACATAAATCTATATATAGATTCACAACATTACACACATATGATGTCTTGAGCAGAGACAACAGGGCAGGAAAACAGAAATAGCGATCAAACAAAAAAAATGCAGTCATTTGTTTTTACATTCTACATAAAAAAACAGAAGAATTGACGTGAAATTAACAAAATGGAAAAGCGTTCCATTCATGGATTTTTAAAAAAAAAATTGATTTTTTTTTTATTTTGACGAACAACTACATAAATCAGACAGAAAACTGTTCTTGGAATATTAAATTATATGTCTATACTTTGATTGAATGGTAGAAATGTAGAAAATATTACATTTATCGAAGTTTCTCAACAAAATGTTTCCAGCTACTCTTAATACCTGCAGGGACAGAAAATCAATGAAAATGGAACTCTGAGTATGAAAGCATAATGAAAACAGGGGAGGGAATTCGATCTATTTAAAATTCCTACAGGCAATTAAAAAGAAACGCTCCTTTCTAAGGTCGAAATTAATTTGAAAAAACGATGTTTGACATGTGATATAAGTGTCCCTTATATACATAGAGCATTTTAAATAAGACATATCATAACAGTAAACGAGCACAGGCAATTAAAGCAATTTAAACAACACATAAAAATGATGCAATGCCGGAATATACTTCTGTAGCTATTCAACACGTTTTAGATGACGAGTGATGTCTGTCAAGTGTCAAGAGACATTGTGTTATAAAGAGGAATTATGGTCTGTTAGCGGAGTTGGATGAAAATGAAAACCCAATCAATTAGTTAGAGAGATATAGTTACAGATTAATTCATTAGAGATTAAAAAGTGTTGCATGACCTTCTGTTGAATGGAATTAAAACTCTATCGATAATTTCCCATCTTTTCGAACTCTGAACGTTTGGCAGTGTTGCACGAAATTTAATTTAATTTAACTCGTCCCATTTATTATACAACATTCTGGGATTGTCAACACCAAAGTACTCTTGCTATTAATAGTTATGACGATGACAAAAATATAGCTTGCATACACACACTTTAATCAATACAAATCGAGACATATACATTCCACATGATAGCTTCTTGTGTCCATGCTTCGTGCGTGCAAATGAACGTGAGACTATTTTAAACAATTCTTCTTACTTTTTACGCATGCGCCAGATGAGCTTCGTTTCCAGCCAGGACAGCAAGTGTGGACACGTATGTACTCAGCCCGTGGGGCGCGGACCAGCCCCTGACAGATCAGACCCATGGGACTGAAATACAAATAATTTCTTTACGATTAGAATAAAATATTCTTCTTATTTAATATTAACTTATTCAATTATTCTTTTTGCCAAATCTATATGATTAAAAATAGAATATTCAACTGACATTTCGCCATTCGAATGTCACCTTACCAGAAGAATTCGAACATTCGTTGACATGTCGGAATGACATACTAACCGTTCATAATAAAGATTTACATGACATAAATAATTTTCAAACATTTTGATTTCAAGAGTTTTCTGTAGTTTTTCCTGTGCAGTAACTTAATGAACAAAACCAGATGTAAATGAATTCATTTGGTTATGAACGCAAATAGATTATTCCAAAATATTTGATCAAATCAAAATGATTTAATGGGAATTTGAACAACAGGCAATGCCTATACTACACAAGTCCTCTGCCAAATATATCATTGTCAATTTGAATAATTTCTTTTTGGATTGTGTAATGTAATTCCGTCATATGATGTAACATGTGGATGACATTTTGTTGTCCCATGATTGACATTGGTGCTTACCATATTCAAATTATCGTAAAATATCATGGAATTTTTACCGTTTATCACATATTTCATAAGTTTTAATTACAAAATTTTAATTTAAATGTGTTTGTAGAGTTCATTTATTTAGTTATTCAGGTATAAATAATACCAAATATCATTTATTGCGCTAATTCGGTCCTGTGTTGTTGTTTCCTTGTGGAGACGTGTGCTGGTATCTTGAGTGAAAGGAATGCATTGCAATCATATCAATTCACACAAGCTAGTAAACTGTACATATTTCTTCCTGTGTCTTTGTCAAGGCTGTTCGTGACATACAATATTAATGTATATACAGTTTTCATGGTGTACGGCAACCTGTTTTGGCCAGACTATAACCAACAAAGTAGCAATATAATCACATGACAAGACACAGCCTTGCATACAAGTATACTGAAGGCGTCATATAGTACAGGCACATCAGTGCAAACTGTGAATACCCAATTCCAATTAAGGATAACCTTTCGTCATGATTACATTTATTTTTGTGAGCGTTATATTTCAATCCAATAGAAAACTTGATTCGGTGTTTTCCAATTTGAAGAAAATGTTCACATTTAAAATTTCAAAAATATTGAAAATCTGCATTCGTAGCAAGTTTCCCTAAAAGCATGCATTTCTGAGAGCATAAGGCAAGTTTCGCC